TTCAGCTCGTCGCCACCTGCTCCCTCCTCCTTTGATGGCGAAGCCAGGTTACTGAGGCAATACAGCTCCCTCTAGCAAACCTAGGGCCGTGTAGTGCCCGTCCACCTTTCACCTTTCTGATGGTGTCTGCCTCCGCGCACAAAAATGAGATGGGCATCACTGCCAACGCCGACGGCCAGGAAGGCCCGCGCATCTACATTCTCCCGCCTGACCCCATCAGTGCCGACCCAACTCCACCACCACACGCACGCCTCGCGGCGGATGCGCAGCAGCAAGAAGGTTTCGGTCATCCCTTGAGGGTGAGTCTAGCCCTGCTCGCCAGAGAGACCCCCCCCTTCGCTACAACCCATGTCTAAGCAAAAGCTTGTCGAGGCGCGAGGGGAAGAAGGGAGAGATATGGACTATGACATGTTAATATATACTTCTATATGTTATAGTCGTTGGTGCATGTTTCATTTCTGATCATTGGATCCATCAACGGCTATTATTATTATATAGTGGGACTTTGAAGATTTGCGTATGAAACATGACAGCATATATATATATCATGACAGCACAACAATAAATACCCTGTGTGCGCGGGACAGGGACAATCTCAGCGGACATACGCGGACGTTCAGGGTAGTAGAATGAGCTCGGTTCGGTATGAAGAGAGCAGTGTGGTAACAGAGTGGACCCATTTCCTTACAGTACACCCTCAACACTACTTACTGTCATTTCGCAATTTCCTCCATTAACTATCAAGCAAGTGACGCAGAAGGATATAAGTATATGCTATTACATCATCAATCATGCGTTATGCGTACGTTACTCCGTAATTTGAAAGAAAGTAAGTCCTCACATTAGACAATCTATGATAATATGACTCTGGCGACATGGTACACACACGTCAATCAAGCAGTTTGAGCTTTGCTTGCCGATGGTTGCTTTCAACGTTGCACCTACGAATGGAAGACGGTGAGCTTCCACATCTATCTATCTGTGCAATGGTGACACCAAATAAATCCCGGAGGCTCTGCCAGCCACGACGCTGAGGGGCACGAATAGAGTGGTGGTTGAGGTTGGTGGAATTCTTCGTCTTCGGTTTCAACAAAAGTATGACGATGCTGTTTAGTTTCCAAGTCTTGCGAGGTGTGTTCGGCTAGCCATTGGCATCCCAGCCAGCTCTCACACACACAGGATGGGCGGATCAAAAGATAGCACAAACAACCTCTTCTTTCTCCGGCGGCTGATTTTTGGCTTTGAATTAGAACGGTACACCCGCAGGAGAAATTATTGGCAATAATTATTTTCAGACAACGGCAAGTTTCACGTGGCATGGAACAACATATTCGCCTGATTGAGAGCGAACTATCTGATTGAGAGCGAGAGCCAAAAAAATTGAAATTTCGGGTCCAGACGCCTCTTGCCATTTCTTGGCAAGTAGGGGACGGGCTATTCCAAGAAGCGGTGCAAATTGAAGGTCTCATCAGCAGCTTCGCGAGCATATGCGTGTCATCGTCATCGGATGCTGCAGCGAGGAGCTAGACAAGTTGCTAGATTTGCCCAGATTGGCTATTTCTGCTCAAACTGTTTCAGGGCGGTATCGCGTCGGGCGGTGGGCTCTGCTGTAGCTTCTGCTCCCCGCTGTAGCTCCACAACGAGAGACTCCCACAGGATGACCAGGGTAGCGGCTTGAAGCTACGGGCTAGCCCTTCAATTCAAGCTACACAGCAAGCTCCACCTCTCAGTGGTAGTCCGGCTACAGCGTATCGCGCAATCTCGCTCTCAATCAGATGCTACGCTCTCAATCAGGCGAATATGTTGTTCCAATGGGTAGAAATTAGTCTAATTGTCGTCTGTGGAATGAGCAATCACTGTGTGTGGTCATTCGACTGTGTTATTGTGATCGGTGGGACGTTTTCCATGTATCTATATTCTGTGCGTGCAATGTTGCGTATGTATGTATTCGATGGTATGTGTATGCGAACCCACGTTGTAAGTCGCAACAGATCACACCAACCACCACCATTCACCTAGAGAGCGATTCATCCGAGAGCTTGATGAGAGCGCAGCGTGTCTGAGATTCTAGAACGGTCCCTCGATGACAAGGCCATCAACCAGGTCCTATCACATGCCAAAACTACCGGAAAATCGAGCCACGTGCAGCAAACGCTAGCTGCTCAAATAACAATGGGAGGTCGTGAGATCATCTCGCCTTCACAGAACTGCCGTTGTTCTCTGTATTTTTGCGAGCGAGGTTCGTGAGACCCGATCAAGGAGAGGACTGCCGAACAAAAACGACCAAGACGGGACACACACACAACGGTCAGCCGGTTAGCGCGGTCGGTGCTAATCATAAATACACACACACACACAGCTGCAAGTAGTCTAAGGCCAATCACCATGCGGGAACTTTCAACCCGTCTAGATCTACCCTCCTTACTGCTGCTTTTTCAACGAATATGGTGGTGTTGGCAAAGGCACCAATCGACTCATCGTTGCTATCGCCAACCACTAGGCGCACGAAGCTTTTTGCCGGGGCAAATTTGACGAAGAAAGAAGAGTTTTAGTTCGCCTGAAAGCTTGTCATACTAACAGGATTCGGAGACGGTTTACCTTCGAGCCAGCTCGTTTTCTGTCGATGCCAACTTACTCGCGATGTTTTCGAACGTCATGGGCTACTGATCGACCAACTTCTACCAGGGCCAATCGGTTGGGATCTCTGCGACAACGATAGTAATGGGGGTAATTCTTTTGGGAGTGACGGAGACGAAGGAAAGAGAAAGGGAAGAAAAGAGGACGAAGAAGACGATCGAGGAGAAAACAAAGGGGAGTGGAAGAGAGCAAACGGTTTGAGCCAGATGACCTTCCCCCCAAAAAAACGTAGGGCTAGGGAAGAAGTGCCCAGAGATTCTTGTCAAAATGAGGATCAGAATGATGGTAGCGAAAACAAGGAGAACAATGGTGAAAGTACTCCTAAACGAACTAGAGTACAAGGTAAAAAAAGCCTTGGTAGACGCGTCCAGTTTTCTTCTGTTGCTGCCGTTTCTGTCTTTCTTTGATCCGAAGGATAGTTTAGCCTCCCCCATGCTGCCCCCTCACGGGGTCCCAGTTCATGGCAGATAGAATTGTTGTGTGTTTTCAACCGCACTGAGACTGACGTCTTTTCATTGGTCAGCCGGTTAGTGCGGTCGATGCTAACAAAAAACACACACACAAATACCCGCGCGGAACGACCCAAGCTCTAGGGAACGTCGAGAGCTCGTCCCGACTCATACACGTCCTGAAACATCCATGTATGACATAATTAACCACGTTCACCGTGCGAAACTTGCTCACTACGAACCGTGCTCCTCAATTAGACTTCTGCCGTATCAAAGGAGCTCAATACCCCACCGACTCGACGCTCCCGATGCGAACTGTCCCCAAAGATCGCGTAGGACACTCAGCACAAGCACTCACAAAAGGAGGGACTTCTGCCGTATCAAAGGAGCTAAATACCCCACCGACTCCACGCTCCCGACGCGAACTGTCCCCAAAGATCGCGTAGGAAACTCAGCACAAGCACTCACAAAAGGAGGGAGCGTGCCTATGGGTTTGAAAAAAACCTCTCCTTGCAACGGTGACAAAAAAACAGAATTCGAGCCCGTTGAAACTGCCATCAATACAGAGGCCGACAAGTCCATCCCGAAGACTCGCGCGAACTTACAAATACCGCCCGCTGCAACGGCTCACGCCGTAACGAAACCCAGAGTCGTTCTTCTATCGTGCAGCACAGCATCCCACCTGCCGTACGTAGCGACTCACCTACATTCGTCCCTAAACAACGCTGCCTGGTAACTATTTTGGCACGTACCATTGTAGAGCTCTGACGATGGAACCCCCCTTTACAGGGGGACACGAGTGTGTCGTATCATTTTGGTCCAGAGACACCCGCTATCCCTTCCCTGACACATCACTCTCCCTTCCGCTGCCAACTTTTGAACACGATTCCAAGGTCCTCAGTGGTAGATCACGTGAAACATAGCGGATGTCGCGCAACACGGCCCTTGCTTTCCGTCAACTTTGACAACACCGTATTCCATTTGAAAGACCCATTTTCCGTATGAGGGTTTACGATCGTACGGCCCGATGGCTGGATGTTCAGACGGCTCGGTACTGCGGCGCTGAAGCAAGGAATTCACCGTAGGCAGCTGCGTTGGGGCGAACGAAAAGTTCGACCAGCGGGTTTGCGCGCTGTCGCTTTGTTGCACCAATGTCTTGGAGCAACTCATCGAAGTGGCGGAAATGAAACGGAGCCACGCACAAGCCGCCGTATTCTTTGGCCACCGGTCTCTCCTCCCGCCGCCACTTTTGCATCTTGTCGATGTTTGCGTTCATGTCATCCGCGGTTGCCTGATACTCAAGCTGTCCATCTGCAAAACGAACCAGCCAGTTTGCGACCAATTCCGCCGACAGTACGGTGCAGAAACTGCTGTTGAAGCCAACAAACCCTAAACCAGGCAGGTCTGGGTTCACCGCGAAGCGATAGAGACGATGGACGCCGTCATCATCGACCAGCTTGTGCTGTTCTTCCGCAAGCAGAAACGGGATGCCCTGTTTCCATCCGGTCGCCATCACCGCAACATCGCACGGGACCGTGTCACCGTTTGACAGGACCGCTGCGCCTTCTTCGTAGCGCTCGATCGAGCCTTGAACCGCTTTGATCGTCCCGTCATCCAACGCTTCGAAAAAGCCGGGTGGGACGACGCCGATCGAGCAGGAGACGGTGTCTTCGATCGGCTCCGAGGGAACCATGTTGTGCTTCTTCAGACCAAGCTGGAGGGTCAGCACAGCCTCCAAGCCACGGAAGTTGAACCAGATCAAGGGCTTCAAGAGCACCCTGAGCGCGCGCCCGACCGGCGAGGGCAACCAGCCTTCGAACTGCTCCTCCTGCGCGCGCATGTAGAGCAGGTGCTTGAGGTTGATGCCGCCGATGAAGTACGGCAGCCGCCATACGTTCTTGCGGTAGACGAGGGAGACCGACTTCGCGCCGTTGCTGGCGGCGTTGACAGCGATGTCCAACGCCGACTTCGAGCCGCCCAAGACCACGACGCGCTTTCCCCGGATAATCGACGGGTCGGTGTAGTTCGAGGAGTGCATGATCGCTCCACCTTGAGCGGTGAATTCGGCCTCGCCCGGATGAGTCGGGACGTTTTCCTCGGAAAACTGTCCGGTCGCAACGCAGACGAAGTCGAAGTCTTCTTTCGGAGCACTTTCCTTGTCTTCGCTTTCCTTCGTCAACGTCAGGGTCCACCCGGGTTGGCCG